GTATTAATCCATCTATTAAGAGGTCACCTACAGTGTATTAATCCATCTATTAAGAGGTCACCTACAGTGTATTAATCCATCTATTAAGAGATCACATACAGTGTATTAATCCATCTATTAAGAGGTCACCAATGTACAGTGTATTAAGGCGGTCAGATATTAAGCAGTCATCAATTGCAATTAAGTGGCCATCTATTAAGCGGTCACCTATTAAATGGTCACCTATTTCTTGACTTCATGTGCCATCCAAAACTAAAATCAAAACTATTCACTCCCCAGAGCTGTTTTTTAATTGTTAGATATTTATTTTATGCTGTTACAAGAAAAGTCTTACCAAAAATTAATAACTATCTATTATCCATGTTTGGTTTTTAGATTTATTGCAAGTCAAATTCTGTCACCCCTACCCCCTAAGTACAGTAGCATCCTGTACAACTTATGAGATAAGATACAAGATGCTTTTATTGATAGAATGAAATAAATATTCATGTTTTTCTTTATCAGTGAGAGTGGTTGGCTGAAACTAGATTCAGATATATTTTGAGCCACATTATAGATTTACAAATATTTAACAAAAAGAAATTGCATAGTGCATTTAGTAAAAGCTTGAAACTTTACTATAAATACTAAATTGTAAAGTGCAAACAATTAATCCGTGAAACACTAGTTACTAAATAGTACAAAATTGTGTAATTAAACAATAGAAAACAATAGAGTTTGCATGAAATTGTGCTATTTAGTATTACTAAAGTTTCACGGATTTACTGTGGTCACTCACTATTTTGTACAAATTAGTCATTAGTAAATTTTATGTGCACGTGTAATCACTGAACCGTGATTGTGCAAATAATCAAGTCAAGCGCAGTTGAGTGCGCTTTAGAAACACTTGTGTCCAAATGTCTAGTACTTAAGTCCATATGGGTAGTTTTATGGGGATGTTTTATGACTGATCATTAGCCCTAATACTATTCTGGTATTCCTTAATACTTCAAATTAAGGTTCTATATTATCTTAAAGTTCAATATTCTCTGTCAGGGTTTTATATTTAAATGGAGAGAAGTTGGCTTAGGGACCCAAGACAATTCACCTTTTCGACGTTAGCCATCACGTGATATAAATTGTGTTGGATTGTGTTACGGTCACCAAGAAGTTCCGACATTGTTCTCGGATTTCCGTACCAATGTACTGGCTTTAAATGAACTATTTACTTGGTTTGTTTAGTTAGTTCTCTAAATACAAGTAAAATAAAAATTTTCTAACTTGATTGAATCTTTTCTTGTTGCTGTTAAGAGAGCTAACTACAAAAATCTATATAAATTTTCTCATCAAACTTAGGCCTAGGGCAAACTTTGAACTTTCCATGCACCGAACTTAATTACATCAAAGAATGCCGCCTCATTATCACCTGCTATCCATTGTTTTTAATGAGTTCGGTGCATGGAAAGTTCGACGTTTGCCCTAGGCCTCAGTGTATTTGTATGGGAATCCAAGAACAATGTCCGAACTTTTTGGTGACTGTAACACAATCCAACAAAGTGTTTATTGCCGAAAAGGTGAATTACATATCCCTAAGCTTCCCACGCCAGACTACTTTAAAAGACATGAAAACTTTCTCTAGCACAGGTTACATATTAGGATGCATGCTAACTCGAAGGGGGGAGGTGGGCTGTCTTGGTCCACAACACAACTTCTCTCCAAATAAATATAACTAGGGTTAAGAAATTATTTTACGAATTTTAATTTTTTTAAAAGGTGTCTACCCCTAAAGACATATTTACAGAGTAGCTTAGTCCTAGCTTTAAATGTGCGAATAAAGAAAAGTTATACAATTCAAACATCCCCCCGCCTCCCTCTGTTACGTACATGTAACATGGATCATAAAATGGCTGTTTTTTATGATCCAAGAGACTGTCAGAGTCTCGGTGCTAGGGACTATGGCATAATTCCCTTAAAACAACCCACAGCTTCTTGTTTACACCGATAAAATAATCATTATGCTAATGGATCATTGGTTTCTATAGGTATAATCATATAACTAGCTTTACTTAGTGTACAATACCTTTATTATTCTCCTCCATATTTTCCTGCTTCCCTTTCTCCTGCAAAAGAGGACTAGGACCGACAGGTACTGTAAAACCAAAGGAAGCCCAAACAATAGAGATAGAAAAGTATGTAATTTTTATTAGTTTCTTTATATTCGTTTACCATAAGCCAGAGAAAGAATTAGAAGCAGACTACAGGCGGTGAAAAATATTAATTTACTATAGCATACAATTTAAATTAACAAGTACAATTGTTTCAGCCGTCGTTTCAGACAGGTTCCAGGCTCCGCTCACGAGTCCACCTACTCGGCATCGCCCTGCCTTTGTCTTTGGAATTGCAATATAGATATAGTTTCGATAGCTTATAAGACCTAGAATGTCAAATTTACAGAACGAGCTTGAAAGTGATGAACTTGAATTTCTTGAGAAGGCATTTGAATGCTGTGACGAGGCTGATTCTGTTTCTCAAGGCGTGATCGCTGTAGAAAAGGACTCTGAAAAATACGTCAAGAAGAAGTCAACAGTGCCTCCTTATCCTAATCAACCCTGTGCCGAAAGGATTGTACGTAGAGAAAAGGTATCTTCTAACACATTTGAAAACATAAATTGATATTTAGAATATTTTCCATGCCAGCGATGGAATACGACTTGCTGAAATCTAGTATATTACGGAATAGTACGTGTAAAGACTTATATAACAAGAAGATTTAGTAGAAGGCTGCATGAGCTCTAAAATAGATGTCAGATGCATGGGCTCTAGATCTTTCTATGTGTATAATGTATTACTTAATTAAGACTGTGTCTCGAGTCCTTCAATAATGAGTTATGAAGCAGTTGAAACATGGGAAATATATATAGTTCCCATATAACTCTTGCTGCTCTTAACTTTAATGCTTTTCAACTTTATTGAAAATATTATAAGAATGTTTTCTATACAAATATATTAATATTTATTTTATAGTCAGGATAGTATGTGTGTGCTGATTGGTCAAAAACTGTGCTTTATTTGTGAACAAAGTACAGTGCTGATGCCATCAGCGCGCTCAAAGTGCTGTTAGATACTGCAACCTTAAATACATCCAATCCCGAAATAAAATTAGTAACTATATAATAAAACGAATAAAACAGCTTTTTCCATGCTCCATCTACTAATAAAGCACTTAGGAAGCTGCGCTGTAAGCACTCAAGAGGTGTGTATGGTTCGTATGCTTCTTCTTACAGTTCTTTCCTGCCTACTTCACTTCCTGCATGCTTTATTACTAAATCGAGCACAGAAAAAGCTGTTTTATTTGTTGGATATTAGGAACATAAGAGGGCCTGTGTATGTATATTGTGATGTGTCTGTTCGCAGCTTGCATGAAGCATGAAACATGAAACATGAAGTGTAGCCAAGTTCTTTGACTAATCTTAAGTTCTTTTCCACACTTTTCTTCCATACATACTTTACATGGATACTCGCAAATGGACAGCTACATGGGTCAGACACCACATGGTCATGCACACCTTGTACACTACAAACACTACTGTACATGGACACTTGTACATGGACAGCTACAGGACTCCTGACACCACATGGTCATCTACACCTTGTACACTACAAACACTGACACACCCTGTACATGGACACATGGACACTTGTACATAGACAGTTACACGGCTCATACACCACATGCTCATGTACACCTCATACACTACAAACACTGACACACCCTGTACATGGACACATGGACACTTGTACATGGACAGCTACATGGCTTAGACACCACATGGTCTGTACACCTTGTACACTACAAACACTAACACACCATGTACATGGACACATGGTCACTTGTACATAGACAGTTACACGGCTCAGACACCACATGCTCATGTACACCTCATACACTACAAACACTGACACACCCTGTACATGGACACATGGACACTTGTACATGGACAGCTACATGGCTCAGACACCACATGGTCATGTACACCTTGTACACTACAAACACCGACACACCCTCTACATCATGGACACATGGACACTTGTACATGGACAGTTACACGGCTCATACACCACATGCTCATGTACACCTCTTACACTACAAATACCAAGAAAATACATACTTTACAGTTCTACTACAACCAATAATATTGCAAGGCTACCCAAACAAATTTTAAAGTGTATATCAAGAAAATGTTTTTTTATTTGTAAAATCAATTTTATGTGAATAGTGTAGTAGTATGGTTGCAGTATTTTTGTATCTCAAATTTTCTTTTTGGAGATTTGAAATATCAATATGCAAATGAGATGCTGTAAATTCAAGACTAATTTATTATACGAAAATGCTTTTTTGGAAAGTACTGCTGTTTTTGGTTATTTGCCAATCATCCTCATAACTGAAATATATGGCTTTGTACACTTTTAGGTTATTTCACTTCAGAACACTTGTCATAAATTACACTGCAAAATGTAACCCATTCTTGCATGAATTTATGTCATCTCACGATCATACAATATTGATATTTCAAATGTTTATATATCTGAAAAGAGAAGACCACACACAAAACTACTGCAACCACACTACTACACTGTTCACATACTGTATAAGTGATTTTGAAAAAAAAATTTTTCCCTTGATATACAATTTAAAGCAAATTCACAAATCACATATTTGGTGCAGAAAAACAGATGAATTGATGGATTCTATAACTGATTTTTTGTTCATTCCTGATCATAAATTTCTTTTCTGATTATATTGTTTGTATACTGTACTTTATCATGATTGGCTATTTGTATGAAAGTTTGTCTGGGTGGCCTTGGCTGGTGTAGTCTCACTGTAACCAGTGATTGTTAAACCCTTAAAGATTAGTCCTCACTAATAAAGTTTCAGCTGATTTAATTTATTAAATACTATTATACAGTACACTCAGTTTCCCATGTATTACAACTATTTTTGGAGTGCAATTACAGAGCAATAATACATGGCATGGTCTGTAAACTGGTTTTGAACGTTTTTTTGCTGATGTCAATTTTTTTCCTTATCCTTTATTTGGCTCACGTCAGTGTTTTGTGTTTGGGGCTTCCAAGTTTGCTTGTTTACAATAAAAATGGTTGTTTTTCATTCACTCTTTCTCAGTTTTTCACGTCATACAATAAACACTTTATTACACTGCTATAGTTGTGTATTACTGCCAGATAATTTTACTCTTGAAGCTGCTTCTTTTCTCGCCCCCTGCAGGGCTCGAAAAAAATATGGCCACTTTCACTTGGCAGTAATATGCAACTAGCATTGTAATAGCCTCTATATAATATTAAAGTTATAGAAAAAACTATGGAAATTTCCACATATTGGGATCTTTCTCCARACTTGGATTGGCTACATATCAAGATTTCTAGTGGAGTTTCATTAATTGGGTATTAAGAAATGAGTCCATTCTTTCAATGAGGCAAAAATCTAATTTTACCATTACAGTATAATCTTTTCTTTGAAGTGGCATGTTCAAATCGTTTTTAGCACTTTTTCTAAATAATTGGAAATATTTTTTTTCTCTTCTAGGTATCATCTTCTTGGGGGATACACATAAATAAGGAAAAACAAAGTGGTTCCATGACAAATGAAATTCCAGCTCTTCTTTGTTTTGAAAATGGAGAAAGTTTCAATGAAGAAATGATTCACAAGTTAGAGAAAGCTTTATCTACAATCAGTGGAGGCAGTATTAATGTCCTGAAGTACTCTGACTTGCAGATCCTTGCAAAATTCAAAGGATATGATGCATATCAAGAATTTGGAAAACGTTTCATGAATGGAGAAATTCAAAAGATCAATGGATTTGAGCTAACTGAGGTTAAAGGTATGAACTTGTGAGCATGCTATAATAATGGATTTTATATATTTTTACAATTCTTTGGGGTTCATGTTATGACATACTGTAGCTACCATGTTGGTTGAAGTTAACAGAGCCCTTATGAAAAAAGAAGATGGTTAAAATATGTTTTGTAAAATGTATAAAACAGATTTTAAAAATGTTWAAAACATATGATTAGCATTTCTCATTAGTTTCTCTTGTTAGATCAACATTTATATCTCGAGGGATTTTGAGTCATGTTGCTCAACCCAAGAATATGATTTTACCAAAACACTCTTATAATGCCTTAAACTTCCTTAACCTACAGTACTTTTTAAAAAACCTGGCTTATTATTCTTCTTCTGAACCACCAATAAGTTTGATAACTTTTTTTCTGTTTATTTCCCTCCAGTCATTTCAGTCATGAATCCACTTCCATTCTATTTGGAGGTGTCATGTTCCACTTCTGATGGTCCTAAACTGCAAGCTGATTTATCATCGTTCTTTGTATCATACTGTTCCAATTTTTCTTGCATTGCTTTAAAAGAGACTGCTCAGAAAGCCATCTATAGTACAAGCCCAACCGACTTCCCCCAAACTGATGAAATTGTGCCAGCCATCAGCATGATGTTCATGTTTATGGCGAAAGCCCAAAGAAATGCTCAAAAGTTTATCCAAGCGATGGAGATAGCTGGAAAGGATTGGGAAGAGTTTTCTATGCCTAAAGAATTTTGTGAGAACGGAGAAGTTTTTTTAAAATTCTCAAACACACCCGGAGTGTCGCTTTCAGTTAAGCAGGGTTCACCATTCGCTGGAATAAAGATCATGTTATTTGTAAGCAAAAAATTTGAAGAAATGGAGACATTTTATTCTTTCATAACAGGAAAATCACCTTTAGTTGTCGACAGAATGGAAGAGGGAATAAGGTATAGGACTTATTCTCTCTCAAGGAAATTGGAGCTGCAGTTAGTCTTGCATCCAAGGCTCAAGCCACTTCACTCAAAAAATGTGAATCTTTGCTTTTCAATTAATAATATTGATAACATTTTGTCAGGATTTTCTGGAGATGTCTGTAACGTTGGTGAGAGTCATTGGCAGGTTAAAGATCCGGAGGGAAATTCTGTCATTCTGTACAGTTTTTAGATCCGGAGGGAAATTCTCTCATGTGTACAGTTTATCAAACAGTTTATGATGCACTCTTCAAAATTCGTGATTATCATGAAAAAAATAAAGAAATGGGAGTTGAAATGAATTATTCATAATGTAAATGAGACGTCTAAGGCGAAGGAGGAAAAAAAATCGATTCGTACACTAGTGATTTTAGTGGGGGAAAAATCAAGAGAAATAAAGTGTGAACTAGCAATTCGTTGCAGCACCAAGTCTCAAACCTCATTTGATACTTATTTATTTGAGCCTCTTGGGAATTGTATCATTGGAACATTTGTTTGGTCCTGCCCAAACCATGTTAACAGATGTGAGGTCATGTAATACCAGGTTCAGAAGGCAAAACAGAGCCAGCCTGTATGTAGAACTCACCGTATACTCAACCAAGAAATGCAAATATAGTTTTACTGGTATTCAGGAGGAAGTTAATTAGGGAGTTTAGGAGTTTGACACTACAAAACACTCGTATTGGAGTTTGCACTGGGTAAGAGAATATAATGTTATRATAACTGGTTAGGCTGGAGTCGGGAATACGAGAACTACAGTAGTAATTAAAAGTATTATTACAGAACCGTCTGTAAAAAAAGCGGAATCTGTATCCAAAAGTGTTTTTTGTCGTGTCAAAAAATCCAGGAAGGGAAATTGTCTCGAGCTTGGTATCGCGATGGGCCAATGAGAATGCAGCATGTAAGCAGCAAATCAGAATATTTGTTCGCCATAAATATCTTTTAAATATCGGTCACGTGCCAAACACTTCGATAGAGAGATGATTATTCTGCTAGAAAATCCCGGGGGGGAGGGGTACTCCGCCAGAATTTGGGTAGGGGTGTTCCGCTGGGATTCTGAAAGGGGTACCCTGTTTATGACAAAAAACATATTTGTAGACCCTGTTTATGATTAAAGATATAACTAATTGCACTGAGTTCCCGTTTCAATTATCATGTCATCTCGCGTATCGTTTTTTTACGACCATAATAACCAGTTTCGAGCAATACGAAAGTAGAAACCCTGAATATGACAACAAACTCAGGAAGAACTTGGACCTTGAGTGAAATTGCATACCCTGTTTATGATAAGAAGCTCGAGAAACCATATCCTGTTCAGCGGATCATCCCTGTATAGTTCATATATGGGAGTAACCCCCCCCCGGGTAGAAAATCTTCTCAGGCTGTCAAAATGCCGTCTGAAATATCCTTTACGAACAAATACTTGACAATTCTTGAAAGCTGTACCCGGTTGTTGATGCAAAACTGACAAAAACAGGGGCGTAGCCAGGATTTAACCTTGGGAGTGGGTGGGGGGTGGGGGGGGGGAGGCAAAACCCATTTGTAGAACAAGAATAAGTCGCGTGAATTTATCACGTGACTACTTAGGCTTTTACTTTTCCACCGGACGAAAGATAGTGGCTATCGCTTCTCTAGAAGCAATATCCACAATAGAAATTTAAGTTTAGTAAGAAAGTAAATTAGATAAATCAAAAAGTAGGAATAAATCGTCAATATCGTCAGACTTTTTTAAAGGCTTGGATAGATAGATAAATGTCAGAAATGAAGTAGATGAGACTTTAAAATTAAACCAAACGAATTCGAGCTGCATTGTATATTTTGTTAGTTCTAATTCTTTATGGCTTTAATAATTTCACTGTCACCCTGTCTGTCGAAGTCAATGATAATTGATCCCTAATTTTGGTAAATTTACTAATCCACTAATTTTTTATGCTTTATTTTTTATATTTAATGTCAACCTTTTTGCAATTACTTGTATATCAGAAATAGATAACAAAAAGCTTTGAACAGGCAAAGTCTCGTTTTGATCGGATACATCATATCGCAGGGTATGTACCAGACCTCTTTGGGAAAACAAACTATACCTATTCCAGTCGATACGTCTTAACTGTACTTTACTGCACATGTTTTATTTCGAAAAGTTCTATTAGAAAAGGCGCATTAATAAAAAGCAAACTTTCCTCCAGCTTTATCATTTGTTACTAAAGGATCAAATCGATCAAAAAAATCGTTTTGGGCTGGGTTATAATTTTTCAGGAAAAATAACATTTACATCTTTCAAAGAGTCTGCAATATCAAGCATTCTGTTCGCGTCGCCGATCCACTTTATTGCCGTTGTCGCTTATTAGAAGTGCATTAATCAAATACTGTGCCAGGTGTATCTCTTCATGTATTCATTTAATCATTCCCCAACAGCTGAAGGTGTCGACGTCGTCTGAATTACGTCTATCAAAACCTAGCAAACAAACAAGATAAATAATTTATAGAATGTATTTG